ACTTATTTTAAGTTTAAAAGTGAGTTTGACAAAATAAAATGCAGAAACATTACATCTGCAGTAAAATCTTAATGCAAAAAACTCACTCGTGTCGGACATATCTGTAACGACACTGTTTTAAAAGTAAAATAATTCTTATATCTAAGAATAGTGTAAAAAACTGTGATGTCGGACCGGACTTTAGGACACCGTTCGTGTATTAACAAGGAAAAAGTAATGCTGTTTAGCTGAAGCATACACTTTTTAAAAATCATTTTGACAGTCACTTTGACAAAGTATAAAATGCAGGAATGTGACAGGAACTGTTGGGTTTTGAGAAACAAACCAAAGCTCTTCTGTCAGTTGGTTCATTGCTGATCAAGACATTTGTTCTACAGTAAAACACATGATATCCCACATTAATCCCTATATAAATTTGGGTAAAATTAAAGGGATATCATCACAAAGGCATTTTAAAGGTGGAATACAATAAAAAACAAAGAGAAAACGAAGAAAATATTGCACAGTAAATTTTTTGGTACAGTGTACAGTCAACAGACCTCCTGCACAACATATTTTTGCACAATGGACTGCCTCAGGAGGCAGTTTTCCCTCCCACACAATGGACTGAATCTGCATAACAGACTTCTTTTGGTTTAAAATTACATTAATGGTACATTGCAAAGTAAACATTCAAATTTTTTAGCAATGGCTTTTGCATTACAAACTGTTCACAAAACAGACTACAGTCTGTTGCACAAATTAAGTCCATTCTGCAGGGGTTGACTGTATATTCATGATTATGTACATAAATCCTCTTGGAAGCACCTTTTTTCCAGCTTAATTTATGGATTCTTAAATGACTGTGGAAATGAGTTTTCTGATTTATCATTTGATTTTCTACCATTTCAATCTAAAAAAATTAAAATTTCCCAAAAATCCCAAAAGTGCTGCCAGAAAAACTTCAAATATTTTACGACGATTAATTTTCCAGTACAATTTTTTGATTCAATTTGGTCAGGAAGAAATTGCTCCCTTGACATTTGGGAAAGGAAAAAAAAGGTGTATAACAGCGCACATCTGAGAATTTGCAGAATTTTTGCTCTGTGAAAAGTTTGCATAAGTTATTCCGGTGTTAAAATCCTGACAAAAGAAAAATTCAAGGTAAATCAAGTTGATATTTGACGCTTTATCTCCCGTCAATATTTTCTGACCGGAGCTGCTGCCCCTCATTTTCTTTAACAACTCACGTTTCAAGCTGGTATACTTTAATAAAATATTAATATTTTTCTTTTCAATATATGCCTGGTTTCCTGGTGCTGCGTATCAATCTTGCTAAGATTGATCTCCTTTGTCCTCTCGGCTAAACTCATGTTCTTGTTGATTGAATCGTCAGCTACAGTATCTCATTTCTTATTCGAAAAACCCTCAGAAATGCTTCCAAAATATTGCGTTTTTTTTCCCCTTCGTAGGAATGCATAGTACAAGCACATGCCTTCATCAGACCACAAGCATGGAAATGCAGTTAATTTTATTTCATTTTTATTTTTTGTGTGGAACCAGTGCTCGAATCGACAATAAAGACAATAGACCCTTGGAAAAACTCAGCGGGGCTTTTGGTCATTCCACTGCAAGGTCAGAGTTTCCTTTTGCGGAGGCGGTTCTAGTATATACATATATATATATAGATTATATGCAAGGGGTCTAACAAATGTTCTTGGAATATAAATCCAAATGGCCTTTTGTTGAGCAGAAAAACTATGATAATTTTTTTTTTCAGAAAAAAACATTGTTTTTTTCTCACAAGAAAAAATGCAGACCTGTTTTTGTTCATATTTTTTGGAAATATTTTGGCAAAAGTTGCTGCTTCTGCTCTTCACTCAAAATATGAAACCCCCATCTTGCAGATTTTTTTCTACGTAGCCCAGCTTTTCTTTCAAAATTTTTGAAATTGACATGGTATTGATTCCAAGGGTTTTTGCCACTGATTTATTTATAATAGTGGGACAGTGGAGGGTTCTTTTGTGGTTATCTCACATATGGGGTTGACATTTTTTAGGGGTGAGTCACCCCATCTTGAGAAGGCCTGAGTGGGTCAAAATGTGGATAGAGAACCCCCTTTGTCTTAAGGAATCCACAATTTTAATCCTATGCTGATAAAAAGACCATCACCCAGTGGGGATTTATTTTATTTTTATTTTTCAGACAAAATTTTCTGCACAATTCAAAAAAAAATTGGACTTTCTGTCAACTCGGATTTTTGTTCAAAAATGCCATTTAT